TGATGATGTTTTTATAATTATTTGAAAAAATTAATATACATTTAACATAATTCTTAATAGTATAAAAATTGGCTTTTCAAAGAATTTTAGCTTGTAAAATAAAAATCAACGATGAATATTTATAATAAGTATTAATATGTCGTACCAATGATGTAATCAATACGAGAAACATCATTCAATCTTTTATTAGTGGCAGAAGGAAACAATATTATTATTGACGAATTAATTGAGATGTATAGAAATATTGTAAGAATGGCTAATGCATATTAAATGCACTTCTGTAAGACTCATATTTATGAAATATTCGATGATGAAAAAATTTCAAGTTAAAAAAAACAAAAGAATGATTATTATCGAGTATATAGCAACGCTAATAGTAAAAATCGGGTGCACTCAGATGAAAAAGCATACTCGCAGCTTTACATATATACATAATATAATATCGTTTATATCAGTGATGAGTTATAGGAATCATTTTAATCAACAGAATTCTTTCAGTTTGCAAATGACATATTGGGATAACAGGTCTAAAGGATATACGTGAGTTCTACATCTTAGCTCCTTTGGAGCTGCGCTAACTAGCATTTATAATCAGCAAACTGAATTGATCACTGAAACTTGAATTTTTAATACTGATCAATTTATTAGTTTACTGAGCATTTGATTTCTTTACTGCACATTTACAACAAAAATACTGAGCATTTAATTTGTCCCCTTTTTCTTTTCCTTCTATATCTACATTCACATCCACACCCACACCCTCCCATGTGGGTAGTAGAATGATAATTTGAACTGCAAGTTAAATTAGAATAATGACTGGAAAAGGAATCTGTATCAAAACAATGACACACACGATGATGGTCGCCAAACCAGCTGTTGAAAGCGACTCCTCCGTTTCTGTGAGTATTAGAAATGAGCCTGAGGACAATAATTCATCCGAATGTCAATTTTTGACAAGACATACATGTATGGACAAGAAGTACTTTCAAAAGTACTATATAGTAGAAACCAATATCTTCATTTGTAGACAGAGGGAACCGTTTGGGTGAATTTTACCAGTATCCATGATATAAAATGACGTGCTTTTACTTGTGAAGCCTGTATATTTTACCTATCCTTGCGACGACAGGAAGAAAAATGAAAATAAAGTCGCGATATCATGCACATTTTTTCAACCATCGATTAACTTTCTCTCTTCATTATTCAAGCTATCTGATCCATAAGTGAAAGGACAAGCAAAAGAATGATACTATTTTATGGAGAAAAAAAAAGCATTCTCTCTCAATAATATATGATTATTCTTCATCCAACGTACACGGTTGAATGCATACAAGCCAAACATTGTTCGATATCTGCATAAGCAAAATTATTCCTTCATTTTTTTTTGTTTAATAACATCGATAAATTACCAACGTATTATATTTATCTTTACTATATGCATCGAATAAATACAAGAACCAGACGTAAGTGTTTGATATTGCAGTATCTCTCGTAAGCTCTTTTAGTGTATCAGTATTCAGAGGATTTTTCTATCCTTAAATGAAACTAGTAATTAAGTATGGGTTATGTAAGCTTTAGATTGGATCTAAACGTATAAAGATATGAAAATGAAAGTGAATATTGGCAAGTTTTGTCAAATTTATGAAAACAGTGTTGAGGTTAGTGATCTTTTTCTCGTCGACGCAGACTATTTGCAGGTATTTATGCATTTAATGAAAAGAATAGCAATTAATATGCTATTGAAATCGGTCCTAATTATCCGATACTTGTAGGAAAAGCTTGGTGATTTGTACTCGTGTTTTCTATGATTCGGACAGATACTGAAGGTGTTTTTTGTGCATAGCTAGATATTGGAATGTCTGAAAAAACCGTGAAGACAAGCAGATTAGGAACCATGAGTCGAAACGGGTCACTTTTTCATGGTTCGGGCCGGTCCAAAGTGGCCCACAACTAATTTAAGCCCGCATGGACCGACTCGACGCTAAAGAAAATGTTATGTAAATAAACGGTTCTCTTTCTAAAAAGCGATCCTTAAAACTAGTCCTATAAAAGGTGGTCCAAAAGTTTTGACCCCTCTCAGTAAATCGATGATATCTATCACAAACCTTTATGTATATAATTGATCGAAATATGCATTTTTTAGAGGAGAACAAGAGCTATCTTTTGAAAAAAAATAATTCGAAATACATAAATTTATTACAATCTTATGGGCAATTTACTAATCTTGAATGAGTATTTTGACCTTACATTTTGTGAGAAAAATAAAAAAAATTTTTTTCACCAATAGATTTAAATAATGTATAAGTTCGCTAGTATGATATTTAGTATAGACGTCAATAATCAAATCTGCTGATGCGCTGACCTTGTTTTTGAACAATGGCGCTTTAATCTTTTTGGAATACTATTCATCATTTTCTCACATTTTGCTTGACTAAAATTTTGCCATATATCAACAATTTTTTGTTTAACATCTTGGAATGAATTAAATACATATTCATCTAATTCTTGTCGGATGATACTCCAAAAATTTTCTATTGGCCATACATCATCCATCTTCACGGCTTGATCATCAAAATCGATACGATCAGGTATATTTTCTTCTACAAATTTTTTAACGGCTGCTGTATGGTGAATTCGAGATGTGTCATCTTCAAAAATGTAATCGTTATCTGGAAATAATTGTTGCATTGCAGGTACACTAACTTCTTCTAATAAATCAGTATATTGACCGGCATTTATTATCTTTTTATTACCTTGTTTCCATTCATACTGCTCGAGAAATTCATCAATAAATAATGGTACTTCTGGAATTAAACCTTTACTGCTAATTCCACCCCATAACATGAATCCTTTTGCAAATTTTTCCTCTGGTGCAGTTGATAACTCATTTGGTATTGAATGTTTATTTTCACTATAAACAACATTGCTTTTGCTGTTGTTTTTCTGTCTGACTTCTATCTTATCACTAAAATCGATGATTATTACTTTATTCCATTTGTAATATTTGGCTTTTCAGCTTCTTCCATATTTTCTTAACAATGTTTTTGTACTATCCAATCTTGCTGCAGCATGTGTTTCAGTAATTCTGGGCGCACGTGTTTTATGATAAGGTTTTAATTTCAAATCATGCTTCAAAATTTTTGAACTGATGTTTTTCCAATTCTCAGTTTTTTAGCTGTTGCTCGTTGGCCTGGATTTTGTTTGTTCTGATGTCGTTCACGAGTTTCTTCAATGTTTAACATAGTTCTTGCGGTTCTGGGTCGTCCTATCCTGGCAACATCTTGAATAATACCACGTTTAATTGTTCTTTTGACAAACGAAAGCAATCCCTTTTTAGTAATATCAGTTGGTGGATAAAAATTCCATAATTCCGCAGTAATTCTATTGGTGGACCACCCTTGAGATCTTCGTAATGACAATACATCCACTCTCCATTCCAAATGTTTTCGATGGCCTTTTACATTGATACCATACATATTTATCAAACTTATCGAGATTGATGAATTTATCTTTTTATGATATAAGTATTATGATTCAAACAAATTGGGAAGACGACATCATCGAGAGAAAACAGCCCTCATTTTTCATCTTATTTTCATCTAACACCCTCTATTCGATTTAATATGAACACTAGAATTTTTCGGTACAACTACGAAGAATTTCGGAAGGATAACTTCAAGTAGCTGGCATTTTAGAGAACAAACTCGCAACAAGAAACTTCATAAAGTAAGACTTTCTATATACAAATTTTTACCAATATGAATAGTGTGACAGATCTATAATCATAATCAACAAATATGATGAATACTACTATATTGAAACGATAAGTTCACAAAAAACTTTTGCGAGCAGAAAGCATGCGATTACCACAAAAAGTTTTCTTATTTTCTTTTTCTCAAAAATGCAAGGCCAAAATATTCATTCAAGATTAGTAAATTGCCCATAAGATTGTAATAAACTTATGTATTTCGAGTTATTTTTTTTCAAAAGATAGCTCTTGTTCTCCTCCACAAAAATGCATATTTCGATCAATTATATACATAAAAATTTGTGATAGATATCATCGATTTACTGAGAAGGTTCGAAACTTTTGGACCACCCTTTAGATCGATAAAGCAGAAGCTTCTCTGTCGAGCTTTCTGCACGAATTTCATTTTCTAATCAAATGACAAGTATACATTTTCGCATGTTATAGCTATTGAGCGGAAACAGGTAGCTGGTGAGGCTCAATAAAAATAATTTAAATTTGCCTTAGAAAATAGATGACCTTGAAAATTTTTCGATGGTCTACTCGAATCTGGAGTGGAAATGTCGATTTCGAAAATAGCTACATTCATACCCGTCAAAATAATCAAAACGATCACGTCTGAATTCAGAGGAAATAATTAAGAATGCGTATTTTCGTACTTTGTGACTTTCTCACTTATCGTTTGATTCATGATAAACTTTTTGATAATCAGAATGATCAACATAAAAAGTCCTATTAAATGGTGCTATTTAAAGACCACTCGGAGATGAAATATGTGATGGTGGAAGGAACCCCCATGGAATTACAGAAGTACTATGGAATGTGGATCTATGAATATTTTAACTGACAAAATAGGTCTCACTTGACTTGACTATTATTGACAAGTCATGAGAAGTACCAAGTTAAATTATATACATTGAGATCAACTCATTTTTTGCATGGTTTACCTAATACTTGAATTGAAAAATGTGATGAACTATACAAATCAGTTCTCTTTTACTTCCAAGAGTTTTGGATCATGCATTTTTAAGGAAAGCCAAATAAGTATTGCTCAATCATAGCAAAAATATAAGAATAAGAAAGTTTTCTATCAATCACATTAGTTATTTTGGCTATATGAACAATTAGTGACTGTCAATACTCTATTAATGCTAGTTGAGAATAACTCACCGAATGATGAGTGAAAATTTTCTTTATTGTTGGTCTATACAAGGTATGCATGGTTGCATAGTTCCTTTCAGTAGAGGGATAGCAACGTTTGCGTTGCGTTACTTGTTGATACCTGTAATGTGTAGAATAATGAATTATTTCTTGCTATAGAGGAAAATTTTGGTTTTGAATGAGAATGGACGGTTGTCAATAATTGCATCTATCCACACATATGGAGTGTGTGAATACTTGAGTTTTCAAATCTTCGTAGAAATATGAACATTCTTTTGACAGCAAAATATTTTTAAGAAACGAAATGTCTATTACTACTAGACTTCCAGTGAACCTATGTAAGTATTTAGCCATTATGAGTAAAGCGTGAGACTTAAGCTGATTTACTTTTCTTCATACCTCATTTTGAGTCTATATTTGAGCAAAGTTTGAGCTCTAAAGTGATAAAACATTCAGAAATGCTTCGTCGTCGCAAGATTCGAAAAGCTTATGAGATGAATTTGTATTCACCGAGACTCAAACGGTAAGGTTTATTATCCTAGATAAATATTAGTTTTGAAAAGGGCTCTTTATATTAAGAGAACGTATTCTATTAAACTTGAAAAACTTTTTTAAATGTTAAATAAATTCGAAACAAAATTAAAACTTCCATTTTCATTACAAAATCAATTCTTCCATTCGAGTGCGAATATTTCTGGATACTAATTTCTATTACAGTTGAAGAGTAAATAACTCCACTGAAGAGTAAGTAAATGTACTTGCCAGTGAATATTTTTACTGCATAAAGAATAACTTTACTCGCAGATGAATATGTCTGCTAGGAGCCGAATAGCTCTCCCACATAGTACATGCATCGACTTTAAAAACTTTTCGTAACTACCTTGATGGAATTACTATGATAGGTTCAATGTAGACGATTTAATCGAGTAAATATTTTTTTTTTTCATACGTGTATTCAGATGTACTATAGTACAGAATTTTTCAACCCAAAGCAAGCGATCTTTGCACAGGATTCCTAGCCGGATTTCATCGGAATCCCATAAAAACTGACGAAGTGCGAGAGAATCCTACTGAATTTTGTACGCACCCAGTTCGATCCGAAACGGCAGTCGGTATCTGAACTATGCGACATCGACGACGGTGTGTATGTGGGTTTGGATTAGTTGAAGATTAACACCGGTACCCATACCCATCAATCCAGATGGAGATAGATCATGTTGTTGTTCAGCGTACCAACTACGAGCTTTCTCGTTCGAGAATGTTCTCTTGTGACTATTAGTTTAGTAACATATGGTAAGGAGATATGTTTTGCGATGAAATTTGTTGATGTTGAAATTATTATAGTTATCACTAAGAAAGCATCGCAAATGATGTATTCAATTTGTTATGAACAGTTTGTATGGCTTGATAATTGTTCTGTGCCGCATCGAACAGTCTAAGTTTTTTGCGTTACACTTTGTAGTGGATGACTTTTCAAAAGAAAAAGTTTATTAGACACAGTTTTGGATAGTATATTTTATGCTAGAAAAACTCTTGCATTGCAATGTGCTGCGTGAATATGGATTTATGTTCTCAAGGACCTGATTAGAGACCAATAGTACTGTAGGATTTATCTTCTGCATTGTTGTTACTGCATTATTTCTGTCTAGGTCATTGGTTATCACTCACTATGAGTCGTGGTAGTGTTAAATGGTACATTTCTATGCTCTTGGGTTTCTTTCTTGGTTCTGCGATCACCTTTGTAATCACATCCAAATTGATAACTTGTAAATTGTATTCTCGACAAAATCAACCATCATCTAACGATGCTAAAGTTGGTTATGGAATGGAAGGTATGAATCGCTTTCCAGTAATGTAAGTGTGTACATGGAATCACGGATGATTGATTGTCTTCCTCTAGTCGGACGCCAGGCATCGGTGTATGTTCTTCAACGTTCACCACATCTTCGAATTACTCTATAGACATTGATGACAAAATACCTGAGGTGGCCTTATGGAAAAGAGCAGCACCGATCACCGTTCAACAAGGTTTAGCAGGCATTGACAAAGATTTTACCTTGAAACATAATGAAAATGAAAGCTTACTATTTCCAACAGCTCTTTCGCAATATCGTGGTACTGATCCAGCACACTTAGGTTTTATGTCTTCCTTTGCAGATTATCAAAAAGATAATCTACCATTGACTCTATATGTGATTCAAAAACTTAAGTGAGTAGACCGTACATTAGTTCCCATGAGTTCAAATTCAATACTGCTTCGTTTTGGTTTGAACAGAATCACCTGGCTTTATGGCCCTGTTAATGTCGGTATACATACAGCGAGTAAGAGTTCCCCTGTGGTTGATGACACAACTGTGTACGTTGGAGCGGATAATGAACGATTATATGCTATCGATAGACGATCAGGAGAGTTGAAATGGAGATTTTTTGCGAGACCTGCCATATATGGTATTCATGGCACACCAGCAATCGATCAGCAATATATTTTTATTGGTGACTATGGTAATGTTTCTTTGACATGTCTTCAGCCTTCTTTAGTATGCTTCTCTCTCACTACTTCTTTGTAGGTGGATGGGCATATGCACTAAACAAATCGTCGGGTGCACTGGTTTGGGAAGTGAAGTTAGGTCAGTCAATTGGAGCCAGTCCTGTGATTGTCGGTGAACGTGTGTATTGGGCTGTTGAAGTGAACTCACCGAAGGCTAATGGATATTTGGCTGTTGTCGAACGCTGTACCGGTCGTGTTCTCTTCTATTCGTTACCGTTCGGCGATCATACTCATTGTACACCGACGATAGTAATCGATAAGACAACTAAAAAAGAAGCTCGTGTATATATCGGTGCAAATACAGGTCGGCTTCATTGTTTGAACGCTAATAATGGTAATCAAGTATGGCAATTTGAAACTTTTGGCCGGAGAGCTCGATCCATTCTTATCAATCTCAAATTACCCAAACATACACCCATGACGACAATAGCTCGTTCAGTGTGTCAACAAAATAAGAAATTATGTTTCATGTCTAACTCTGCTCTTCGCAATCAGGTCAGTGTTTTGCTCATGTTTATCTAGGAAATAGTTATAACTGTTGTTATCTTTTTGTTGAAAGGGCCAAATCA